TCCTGTGGCACAAATCTGCCAGAAGTCTCAGCTGTGCCAAACCCATTCCCATATATCAACTTCTAGGCTTTGGAGATGTAGCTGTTGCTATTTTATAAATTATGGAATCTGAGCTTTTGTCACTTGAAACTGGAGCCTGGCAATTCCTGTGAATACTGTGAGCAGTGATCCTGGGCTTCCAGGGAGACAGAAGTGGCTAATCCAAGGCAATCATACGAGTCCCCTCTAATGTGTTATGTAACTGTCTCAGTCTTCAGCTGATTTATCCCCACCACACAACACCCTGTGGAATTAGAAAACCATTTTTCTGTCTATAGACAGGAAGCAAACCTGTGCTCTTCTAGTCAGTTGACCATGAGATCACATGAGAAGGCTGAGATGTGAGTAACAAACTCAACTTAAGCAGTGACCACCCTTCCTGTTCTATTGATCTCATCATTTGGGATTTTGTGGGACAAGCCCTCTTGTAAATTCCGGAGGTATCAATCACTATGCTCCAGAGCAGTTAGTGAGGAATGCAGTTTTGAAGATACACCACCTCCTTAGTTCTGGGGCTTCTTTTCTGGCTGTGGCAAAGTTGGACATTTTCCAGCCACTATTACTGCAAGAAGATGTGCTCCCCACTGCAAGACAGGCAGCAGTGCCATCCCTGCAGACCTACCCACGTTGCTTTCTCTCCCTGCTGTATTTAGTCCTCAGCTGCAGGGCTGTGATCTCAGCCAGCTTAGAGGAAACCAGCAAGTCCTTATTGCCATGGTGGTTGTGACAAAAGCGACCTGGCTTGGGGTAAAAGCACACCTGGCTGCTCAGCAGAGACACAGACAGAGGAGTACTTAGCACTGGGCAAGATCAAAGGCAGCCTGAATTTTCCAAATTCAGTTCATTCCCCAGGTTACACGTTTTGCTTGCACACATCAACCACCTCCTGCTAGTAGTTACCTCATTTTTATGGCAAGCACAGAAAGGACTGAGGTAATTTCCAAGACTATCCATCTGGCTTGAAGATGAAGCTTTCTGTCTGCTTTGAAAGAATTACAAACCATTTCACTGTTCTTAGAAAGGGGCTAAAATTAATGTTTGTTGTAGAACTGAAAGTGAGAGCTCATTAAATGAGGATGTTATGGGCTTACTGTATTTTCTAACTCCTTTAGAATTGCTCACATAGCATGGAGGGAGTCTACAGTTTAATGGTTCATCTAATTATTGAGATAATTTTATTTATATATTGGGATATTTATTCAGGTGGCACAAATAAGCTTAGCTGCAATTAAGTCATTTAAGTGGCATCAATTACAACAAGCTGAGACTATCCCTAACTGTACTAGTTCCATAAACTTCTGTATCTGGGTTGGCAGCCAAAAGCTCTTGGGAGTTAGTGGGATGTGGAAGTGCTCTGGTTGTGTCTCTTTCTCCCAGTCCTAATTCTTACATGAGGATCTGCTACAGCAATTCAGCACTTCCTCATCATTGGCAAAATCCTCAAGAACCTGTTTGAAGATGACTTTAATGATGTTTTATGCCACAGCAATCTGCAGTGGCTGCTTTCCTCTTTGTAGTATCTCTAGAGCAACGCAATTAGCTGCAAATTAACCAGCACAAAACGACTGTCTCTGATAAGTATGTGTTAATTTGGCTTACTTCCCAAGTTATTTCTTCCCTAACTGTATATAATGCACTGTGCTTCTTAATTATCTTCTCTCCCGCTTCAACACTCTCTCCTAATGTGTCTTGAGTGTATTTTAATTGGCTAAATTCCCTTTCTTTTTAGCAGGGGGGAGGAAACTTCAAAATAAGGTTGAATGTCACAAGTTAAGAAATATGTTCTTTCCACGTATTCTTGAAAGTACTCCATGCAACTGTTGTACTTAGTGATTGATTGGTTGATTGATTTCTTTAAACAGAAAAGTTTTGAGACCATAAAGGTCACATGTTTGTTTTTATGCTCTCAAAGTAGGAGAAACATATTTACCAACACAAACTTGCACTCAACTTGATAATCAACAGCCTCATTATTTTTGTTGGAAGGAAATGTGATTATAGATGGAAAATGTGAACAGATCCATGCATGCAAATATGACATGGAACCTACTGCTAGCACATCAAGCTGCTTGACAACAAACACCCTGAGACACAGAAAACAGCTCGTGTGGAAGAAAACTTACCACAGAAATTATTTGAACAAGTGAGAAACTGGACCGCTGCCTTCCTCCCAGCTGAAGGGGCAGCACGTACTGGTATAACCTCCAAGCTTTAAAGATCTGAACAATACAATGTAAAAACCCCCGTGCATTTCAAATTTGCAAAGCAAAACCGGACACTCTTTGACTAGAGTTTGAATGCAGAAGGCTAATTCAAAACAGCTTGGTGGTTCCATAAAAAAATGCCCTCACAGATGAGACTTCTGCATCCCCTGCTTGCCAGAGTGTAAAGGGCACATCTGTAGTTTTCTTTGTTGTGTAGGACTTGTGTAGCACAACAGCTGCTTCTTCTGGTCTTCAGTGCTTTATCTCACCTGAAGTTCTTGTAGAACTCACTGCTTCTTATCACTGGAGTTGGCTCAGACCTCTTGGGACATGCCTAAGTAAGACTAAGTAAGGTGTCTCAGGCAAGCAGGGGAAAGGATTTATGCTTTGTAGTTAGCCAAAGTTTGTAGGTGGCTGGAGAAGATGGTGGCGGTAAGTCTAGCAGCACTTTGTGCTTGGCAGACCATGGCACCTTGGTGTGGTGTGTGGGCAAACTCATCCAAAACCACTTAGTTTGGACCACTCACTCCAGATCTTGGATCTACTTGGCCTCTTTTGTCATAATTTTTACCTGTGCAAAGTGATTGTGAAGGGCTGGCTGGCAGGATTTTACTGCCACTTCCCAGAGCTGTAACTGACCACGTGGAGCTGAAACTTCATGTCCTGGTTCCTTGGCTGGGAGAGTCAGCCTGCAGAGACCCTGCCCGCCCCACGTGGGCCTGGCTGGCTCACCCCAGCCGCTCACTCCTGTCCCTGTGTCACCCCTTCACTTGCCTGGACACATCTGTCTGTCAGGACTGCGCTAAAAACAGATGTGAACTGGTTTAGATTAGAAATACTTCTCATCTGATTCTTCATCTGGCCTCATAAACCATCGGGTCTGTACAGCTGCAGCTGTACAGAATGGGCAGCTGCAGAAGGATGAAGGGGACCTCCTGGAGCTGCCAGTGCTGAGGTGGAAGTGTCAGATGTTTGTCAGCAGTGCCTCTGCCCTTCCAGAGAGGCACAGACCAGCCTCAGCTCTCCCAGATCACTCATTTTAATGGCACTCTGTAGAGCAGGTCCATTAAAGGACTTTTTCAAGAGCAAATTGTTCTGAATAATTTTAGTTCTTCCTTATTTGTGTTCCATGTTTGTTGTTTTAACTCGAGGATCAAATCTGGAAAATAGTTACCAACTGTAGGTATTTTCAGATAAACACATCATTTCTGAGGAGTTACAGGCAATAAGATCCATGTTTGTTCTTTCTGGCTTTACTCTTTGATATTTGAACTACCAATAGTACAGGCCTCTGAGGCAACCATGACAAAAGAAACAGTTTGACCAGAAGCCCTCAAAGAAAAGGTGAACATGGACATACCAGGAAAACCATTAACCATGTGCATGAAGCACTTGTGCTTCTGACAAGTGCAGAAATTGTTCTTTTTGACTGGGTTGTTTTTTCTCTACAGAAGAGAGGAGCTATTAAGATGCCAGGCACGTGTTATCTGAAATTGATATGCCACAAGTGGCTAAATGTCATATGTCAGGTGTATCGGTATGAGCTGGTGTGTAATCTCTGGACTGAAGCCCAAATTTTCAAAAGGTCTCCTCACTTCCACTTGCCCTTTGGGCAGAGAAATAAAAAGAAACTAATAGTAGAAATGCATAGACAGCCTGTTTTTAAATGGCAGGTTTATTAAAAATGTTCTCTATCACAAACATTGGAAACATACCCAGCAGATTTTATTGTAACTGAAAGATTCAGTAGATAGTGGAGAGGGAGTAACTGTCAGCGTAGATCAGCCACGGAATGATGAGAAATAACAGCCAGTTATTTCCACAGCAACCCCCTCCCAAAGCCCCAGCACTACTCAGCACCTCCAGGCTCCACTTTGTGTTCTCTGCCCTGGGGACGAAGCGGAGGGGCTGTGGGTATTTACAGCAGAACAGCCTACAGGTTACAGGAGAGGACACGTTAGCACCAGTGCTTGTGGATTTGGGCTCAGCGTCGCCTCTGCCACTGCGTGTGCATGGTACTGGCTCTACTAAGAGTTAGGATAAAAAAAGGTTAATAATTCTGGCACTTGGAAGGCAAATTGTGCTCTGCAGTGACCTAGGAATCCTTTGTGTTGCGTGCCACACCTGATTGCCCGTCTCTGAAGGCTGCCCATTGGAATTTTACCTTTATGTGCTTTCTTGCAAAAAATGTGTGCTTTGCTTCTCCCCCCCCCCCTTGAAGTGTTGGTTAGTAACACATGAGATCAGGAAATCAGAGTGATTTTCTTACTGCTTTTCTAACACTAAGCACAACCTCTATATTTAGCGAATGTTAGACAAAATAATTATCTTTAGCAGTTTTGGTGAAACACTTTCACATAGCAAAATATCTACATAAATACAGTGCTCATAATTAGTGAGATTCACAAAAAAAAAAGGCTTTGGTTAGAAAATCAAAAAGGGTCAGATAAAAAAACTTTAAAAAAAGGAAGCCAAAGGAGTGTCAAATACTACATTAGAGTCGGACGAGTGCAGAATTAAAACAATAGTTGTCCATTAGTTAGTTTTCCAGTATTAAAGTCTTCCACCTAAAGAAGCCCATGTCTCTCCAAGCTGTGTGCCTGTTCTGGCGTTCACAGCTGGTCTTCCAGCTCCAGGACAAGCAGGGTGGCGATAACTCCACTTTTTCCTGTTCAAGGCAAACAGTCCCTCTGCCAGCTGTGAGGTAGAGATTTGGTATCAGGTCACTGGGGTATGAGATACCACTGAGTGCAGCAGTCACACATTTGTTTCTAGTTCATTTATTTCAATAGTGCAGTGGTCTTTACTGTTGGATTTCTTAGTGTGATTCTCCACTGGACCTTCTTCTTGCTCCACTTGTACGGGTATGTGGTGCTGAAACCCTTTCACTGTTTCTGGTCCACGAGATTCATTCATGGTCTTCACACAGCCATTTCTCTGGTAAGCCACAATCTGATGGATGTTAACAGGCTTAGTTTCACAGATCAATGGCACCTATGTGAAAAGCATTAAGATCTGGAATACTGCCACTGTTTGCTGTGTACAACAGGAAAGGAATTTTGACGTTGAAAGCCTGTGGTCTGCTTTACATTCCCCAGGATTATCTAGGGCCTCCAAAGACTTCCAGGGCCTGTTTCTAATACACACTAAAACATCTTTGAACCACCTGGATAAAGTGAAGGTGTCTCTAAGTATGTGAAAATGTTAATTCTATCATAAATATACTTACATTAACTTACATTATTAACTTACACTCACAGCTGCTTGCATCAGTGTAAATAGGGTAAATAAAGACTAGAATTCCAGGGCTAACTTTGCAAAGATATGGATTCTCAATGGGCACTGGGCAGTGCTTGCTCTCGAGTGCAATTACACAGACCAGTAAGTCTTCTGCTGTTGCCTTCTGCCTTCCTTCTAACCGAGTAAACTAACTCCTGCCTTTTCAGTCTGCACTGTTTCAGAAGAAATAAAGAGGATTTTATTAACTGATTCATAAGCTAAATATTGAAATGTCCTTTAAATCAAACCAGGAGTTCTGATGGGGAAAATAAGATGTAAATGCTGGCAGAGAAAAGAAGTGGGCTTGCAGCTGAGAAAATTTGACCTTTGGGTATACTAAGGAGATTACTAACTCCACACATTGTGTAACCAAAATGTATGGCAGACTGATGGTATATTTTAACACAATTATAGAGCATGATGCAAAGAAAAATCTCATCACAGATTACTAAATAATCCCTTAGGAGGAATTTTATATTCTTGAAACATCTCTTCTTGAGTTCTGGCTGAGTTCTAAGTACAGCAGTGAAATGTCAGGCGGCCTGTGTTATGGAGGAACTGGGACTATGCTCCTGCCTCTGTAACAGATGACATGCCTTAATTTTCTATTAGATTGTAGGTTTACAATTTTGTAGCTAGCTATATGTGTAGCCCATATATTCAAGCCTCATCCTGCCATCGGGTACTGCGTGTGCTAAGTACCTCAGAGGATAAGGGCTTTCTAGGTAAAATGAAAGGGCAGGAATATTAAATGGATGTTGCAGGAAGGCATGAGAATGGCATTTACTGTAAAGATGTCTGTAAAATGGGAGAAATAACAATAGAAATAAAACTTTGCTTTTAATACTGTTTTTCTTTGTAAAATAGTACAAGTGATGCACAGAAATGAAACATGCCATGTGAAAATCAGTCCTGGTGGAGAAACTTCTCTGCCTAAGCTATTCTGTCTCTGGGGAAGAAAAGTAGTGAGAGTGTGCCATGAGCTGAAATGGTTGGGGATTAGCACCTCCAAGAGTGATGGGCTCGTGGAGTTAGGAATCTCCTTTGTCAAGGATTTGAAGGAAGAACATGAGAAGGAGTGTCCTTCAGAAAAGACTGAATGATGCATGCCAAGGAGGAAGGGATAACAGCATAGGAGTGGAGGGAGGCAGGGGTAGAATACCTCTGTTTTGTGGTGTATGGAGAAAGATTTAAAGAAGGAAAGACAAAGATGTAAGGAGGGACTTGTATTAAACGCAGAAGGCATGAAGATGCCTGAGAATGAATCCTAGAATGGAGCAATATCCTTGTGCTAGTCCAGAAAGGAAACTATTGTGGTGGTGGCTTCAGTATGTTAACACAGGGGCTTGAAACACCCAAGGGAGTTGCTCTTGTTGTTAACGTACTGATTGTGCACCTAAGCACTCTTAGATAGCTTTACCTCCCCCCTCACACAAACACTCAAGGACATTTGTCACCCTGCTCTGTTGCTGGTCATATTTTTAGAAGCAGTATGACTTAGTGGCCAAGTAGGACTTGGGTCCTGAGCATGGGACTCAGAGCTCCAGCACCTCCTGCATTTGCAGGCCCGTGCAGCTGCGACTCCTGCTCACAGTCCCCGTGTGCCAGACACGGCTGGCTGTCAGGCTTTGAGCCTGGGTGGCTTTTTACATGATCTCATGGAAAAGGACCCCTCCACCCCATCTGGCTGAGCAGCACATTGCCCAATTTCGTCCCCTCTCTGGAACACCTTGTGTAACTAGGTGAAACACAGGCAGGAGGCTGAAAGCTGGCGGGTTCTCTGCCGTAACACGGCCCAGGCCAGCACAGCCTGGCTCATTCTGGAGTTACCTCATCACCGTCCTTGACAAACTCCTTCCGGCAGATGTGGGCCATGATCCCAGCAGCCAGCGCATCTCCCAGGACATTGATCATTGTCCTAAACCTGTCTCTGGAGAGCGAAATAGTAATGGTAAGTTGTTGGCTCTTTGGGCACACTCCTACGCCTTCAGCGCTGCAGTAACTACAGCTCAAGGCCAGTTTTGCCATTTCTATGAGCTAACGAGTTTAGAAATGGTTGCAAGGAGTTTGGCACGGGGCAGCTGCTGATCCTGAGCTGCTCCGTGGAGTTTTCCAGCCTTTTCTGAGCTCAGGGCTCTGTGCTGCCACATGCTTTAATTAGTAGCTGAGCTAACAAGAGCAGCCATGACTCCCTACACCCGCAAGCTGATTCAGCACTGGAAAGGTTTAACACAGATGATCGAGAGTGCATTTATGTCTGAGTTTTTATGTTAAGGGCCAGTATTATGGGCAGACTTGGAGGCTGGTGCTGCAAATGTCATAATTCAATAATGGTAGAGGGCAGCCAATACAGCCAGTACCTTATATTAGTTATTAAGGTCCCAATCTCAGCAACCAAAGTACTAATTAAGGGTATTATTGGACTGGTAGAACGTGCAGAATACAATCAAAATTATTCAGATGACTGCTGAATAACTGCACTCCAAATTTAAGCAGGCACTGACCATATTTAAATCATGTTAATTTCTGATAAAACTGTGGTTGCTATGGCTACCAGTGGCTCTTAAAGATCCTTCATTTTCAGTTATCATCTTTCTGAATTTAAATTTGTATGCTTGACAGTATGCTGTATTTATATGGTTTTATTATTTTTCATTTATGCATATATGTGATTATTTCCTACCCACCGTCTAAAAAATAAATCTATTGAAATACAGCCTGTAAATACACAAAAGTCAGTGGCTGTCACAGACAGAGTTACACTTCAAACAGCTTGGAATCTATTAGTTAAAACTGACGAGATTTCAAATAGTCCTTACAGCTTTTAAGCCTGAAACATATCACATCTTTTCCAAGAAAAACATACACATCTTCAAACTGTGTCATATTAGTAACTTAATTTATACATGTGGGTTATAAAATGGAGGTTCAGAAATCTCCAGATGTTTGGCTTATTAAAGTCAGTGATGGTCCAATATCAACAGTGTTCAGATTTCTGATCCTGTATCTTAATATAGCAAAGAATTGAAACTGTGTGCTGATTTTTTTTCCAGACATTTTAAGCATGTACTCTATGCATGCAAACGTTCATGCAGTTGCTTCCCTAATTAGCATGAAAGTTTCTGCATGAAAGGTTATTTACATCTGCTCTTCCCCAAATTGCACACTCAACTCTGAGGAACTCCAGCAAAAACCTTCCCCAGCCTCCACCTAGGTGTGGCTGTTGACTCCAGGACCCAGTCCTACACTTGTTTGCTGAATCCATTTTTCTAACTCCTGCTGTTCTGATTTGGGGTTTTGCCTTGAGGAACATTCCCACAGGAATAGGCTAAGCAGGGAAAAATACTGTTGCAGCACATATGATAGACGTTCCTGTTACAAATAGACTTTTCTTTCCTTGATTGATCCTCAGTTTTTGATTTTTGGAAAGACATTCTGAGTTGTTAATTTTGGAATGTGCAGAGAGTCAGCTGTGGTAGGGAAGAAGCTGTATGAGCAGAGCTCTAGAATTTGCACTCCCTTCTGGGCTCCGATTAGCATCCCTTATGAAGACAGGATTTTTCTGAGAAAACAGTGCACAACACTGAAAGTCTTCAGAAAATGGATTGCCTGGCACGTTGTTTGACCAGTTCTATTCCATGTCTCTGAGTGTAGGGAGCACTCTGCACTGGGCAGAGTAGAAACCACACCACACACCACTGACATTTCTCCACTGAGAGGCCAACCTGCTGCTAGTGGCATTTCCTCCAGTGGAAACACGTGAGTCAGGTCTTCCAGTGGTACTTCAGCTCTAGATGATATTATTAAAGATACAAAACTTTTACCTTGTGTTTAATAAATTAGCTGGGAAACCTTTTTATTTTCTTCTTTGTGTCTCTAGGCACTAGCTAACGGAATGAAGTTCAAATAGATGTTGTGGCTACCTAAATGAGTTGTATTATCTGCAGTGCATTGTAATGGGCATTTCGATCTCATGAGATCATCCAACCAGGCTTCTTTAAGCATTCTTCATACTCCAGTATTTCCAAAACTAATACTGACAATATTCACCGTGTCAACCATGTTGACACTTTGCATCTGCAGGCTCTTCAAACCACCAAGTGCCGAAATATAGAAATACAGTTTTTGTTTGACCTTCTGCAAAAGACAGAAAATTGGGTCTGATCCTTGCTGACTTTTAATACCATCTGGAACTATAGCCTGAAAAAGGTTTTTTGTCTGTTGTTTTGAAAAGTTTTGTAAGAACTGTAATTCCCATATATGTTGGAAGACTTACTGGAAAAACAAAGAAATGTTGATGTTGCAAGAGCTGGGCAAAACCTAAGCAATATAGAGGGGAAAGGCTTTTGTAATACAGCTTAAAGTGCTTCGATTCTGTTGTGCTTCATTAACTATTGAGCTGCAGTGACTAGCATTAGAAAGGCTGCACTATCAAAATCTAAACTGCCATTCCCGAGTTTAGGTGCCCACAGCAGGTATCATTTATCCTTCACAGAAAAATATTCTTGATATTCCTGAAATAAAATATGCATACAACAAAAGACTCATAACTCCTATTAATAAAAATAATATTCTATTGCACTGAACAGGAAAGTAAATAGTATCTTCTCACAATTTTTTGTACAAAAAATCAGTGGCTTAAAGTCTAATAAAATCAATATATAACGGAATGGACTTGTAACATATTTTCACCTAAAATCTTGATGTAATGAAACTCCACTGTATTAATGAAGATATATTTTATAGAGATTAAATAAAAAATCATTTGGACTGTATCCTTGTGGATGCATATTCTAGATATGTTGTTAGTTGAAATGCTAACTACCTAGGGACACCAGTAGTTTATGATTCATCTTCCTAGACTATTCAAAATTGATTGACATCTACATAAAAGTTAAGAGTTCACATAAACTACTCCTTAGGAATTTTTGAAGTGGTTCTTCTCACAGGTGACATGAGTCTCCTGTATTCTGAGTGTGTTAAGTTTTAGCCTGCACCTCTGCTGTCAAATCCTCAGTGACCAGGGGTGCAGCAAAGTAACCTCTCTACAGAATGGCTGCCCTTGCAAAACATGGAGCCACTTCCATTGCCTGACTACTCTTCTAGATAAAAAATCATTCTTAAGTTCTCTCATGATCTGACTTAAGGTAGTCACTTTGGCTTCTTCATCCTCCCTCCCTGTGAATGTGAAGGACAATTGATCATTGGCTTCTTCAGGACTATCTTATCTGTATCAGAAACCGCTGTGCTGACTCCACTTCTTCCACCTTTCCATGTAGGTCACCTTGTCCAAGTCTCACCTAGACTCTCTCTCATTTGTCTATGTCATTTTTCAGTATAATGCCCACTTTGGCAGAGTATTTAATCTGAGGCCACGTTAGCACCTTTTCAAACAAAACAATTACTTCCCATGCCTTTTCTGTATATCTGCAATACTGTGCCCCTGGAGACCATTTGCCTGTTTGGCAGTGTTGTCACACTGGAAGCCTCAGAAGCTCAGTGTTACTTACAGAGCCCAGTCGACAGCAATGATCAACGTGATGTCGTCTGTTGGGAGCCCAACCGAGGTCAGAACAATGACCATTGTCACCAGGCCAGCCTGTGGGATACCCGCAGCACCTATGCTGGCAGCTGTAGCTGTGATGCTTTAACAAAGAAAGAAAGGAATAAGCTTTACCAGTGATGGGCTGCTCTTCAAGAAGCTATCCCATGTTTCTACAGGAGCTTTATTAAACCGTAATCCTTCTTACACGAGCTACGGCACAGAAGTGCCAGTGTTTTGTGGGCAGAAGCCAGGTCAGAGAGCAAGAGCAGGCCAAACTGTCTGCCCAGCGCTAAATTCTCCCCCTCTACCCTTCCAGCCTCGGCACTGGCGGGGCAGTTCTGTTATCTCTTAATATCTGGAGTGCCGGGGCAGGGGGCAGCCAGGCTGTGAGCTCCTCCCAGTCACGCCAGCTCCTCGTGGCCGTGGCTCTGCCAGCACCCCTGGCAGCAGAGCTCCCAGCAGAGCTCCCTGAGCCACCACCGCAGTCCCTGTGCCAGGGCAGCCCGCGGCTGGCCACGGCTGGGCCTTCAGCGTCCATCCACCTCCAACGGGCAAAGCCGAGGGTAAGAGGCTGGGCCAGGGGTGAAGTCCTTGCACAGCACATGGCTTTGCACACTTGGATCTCAATATGAAGCAAGTGTGAATGCGACTGTACCTCTGCAGTTTCTGGAAAGTATTTTTGCTTGACCTTCACACCATTTTTTCAGCCAGGCAGGCAGAAATGAATGGGAGACAGGGGCAAGAGTGGACCTGGCAGGCTTAACATTTTTTCATAATGTTATTTTTAGGGAAGGATTTAATTTCTTTTTCCAGGAGCAAAAGTGACTGAATAGATTCATTTCCACCCATTTAGCCACTTCCAAGAGCTAGGCCATCCAGTAGAAAGACAAACCCCAAATGTTGACCGTTGTAAAAGGATGACATAAAGCATACACACTGATAATCCACTGCACTCATCAATCCAGAGTTTCAGAGCTTTTGGCAAGCTGTTAGGTCTCATTAATCTCCTGTGATGGAAACTGAGGGTAACAGTATTCACCCATATGGAAGCTGAGACACAGAGATATCCAGTGTTTTGCTCATAGCTGCACAGTGTACCAGTAGAGCAGCATTACTGTTAATAACTAGAGCCCTTTCCTGCAATAAAAAAAATACATTTGCAGGTGGTTGTGGTGGGGAACAAGAAAGACTTACAACAACATTTTGTAAAAGTTAGCTTGTACAGCATCCCAATGGATTTGTAGCGGGCAGAGAATAGGTAGAAAGGAAAGGACAGAAGCTCAGTAGATAAATAAGAGATAAATATAATGAAGGTTGAAAGGCTGTCCAGTTAGTGCTATAAACTGGCTAACTGACCAGGACTGCTTCTGCCTCCTAAGGCAGTTCAGATCACAAAGCCTCATTACTTAATTAACTAGGTTTAACTACAATTGTACAGGCAAGCTAATCTGCTATTCCATTCAGTTTTGACCTTAATGTAGACGTTTCTTTCCAGAATATGCTCAGTTGATGGGAATAGGATTGTTACTCTCTTTTTCTGCTACAACTAGATCTGCATAATCACATTGATATAAACTGTCAACCTGGATTTTACAAACTATGAACAAAAGAGACTAATTATTTTTCTAAGATTTTCTCCCTTCTGGCAAAAAATATCCTGGTTCTTAGGAATATTTGAATTTTAGGTCTCCAGTTCCTAAAATATCAAGATCTGGAACAGATTTGGCCCATAGTATACAGTTAGAATTTGGTTTCAGATATTCAAGATACTGAATCCATCCTGATTTCCTATTTATAGCCTTCTTTTGTAAGTGAAGCTTTTTATTTCTTTTGCTTTCTTGGATCTTTTCAATCATTTGTAATTTCCTTCTACTGTCTTTACTTCTGGCCCTTATGTACTAGTATGGGGAGTGAAAACAAAGAGACAAAAGAGGGATTTGCTAAAAGAAAACTAGAACTCCTTTCCGTTTGCTGTCACCCTCCTTCTTCATTTCTTAAATCACCATTCTCTAACTCAACGTGTATATAATGTCTGCCCATGAACTGGGCCACATTCTAGGACCACATTCTGTACACATCTCCAAATTCAAAAACACCAAAACCTAAATTTTAGCACAGGGTCATTCCAACAGTTTTGAGAGAGAGAGAGAGAGTGAGAGAGAGAGAGAGAGAGAGAGAGTGCGTGAATCAAGAGCTCATATGGGCACAGTTTATTTCTTCTGTTTCTAGTCTAACCTTATCTTGCCAGAATCCTATAGCAAACCTCAGCTGCCATCTGGAGTTAGTTTCAGGACTCTCCTCTTACTCTGATGAAGGTTTTCAAGTTCAGCAGAAGATGCCAAGGCCCAGTGGTGTAAACAGGGCAGTGATGAAGTCACTGGGTGGGTAGATAAGCAGATCTCAAATGTGTTGCACAAGTTTCTGATTATGAGGAATGTTTTTCTAATCATTTGTTCCCTGCTGGAAACCTGCAGGTTTCAGTCCCTCAGGCATTCTTTGGCAGCCACTGGAGTCATTCTGGCAGTAATTACTCAGTTGGATCTTCCAGTCTTTTGGCTCCATTACAGACCTTTCAAGGACAGAGTATGTAGCTATAGCACTCACTACCCACTGAGAGCACAGTTGTTTATGGAGCTTTCTGCTTTAACAAGCAGCAGAGAGACATTTAAAAGGTATCTGAGTGATATGACATCTTCATGAAGCCTGCCTTGATAGCATTTGTCCTCCTTCCCTGTTCCCCTCTGCTCTGAGGTTTGACAAACAGCTGCCTATTCCCTGTTACCTCACACAGGATTTCCAAGTTTGATTTTTTTAATGCTTTCCTCTCATGTAAAGATGCAAACCAGATTTAAAGTTAAAAACAACTCCGAAATTTAAACTAGTGTTTTAAACACCAATAATAATAGTAAGATGTCCCAGTCTTAATGAATTATCAATGAGTTGCCTAAAAGTAAAAACTAGACAGTTATCCTCAAACAGAAACATGTTTCCTGGTGTCCACATGCTTCTATTGTACAGTCCCAATTTAAAAATAACCACCACAGGAGGAGTGCACCCTCTGATAACAGCAAAGATGAGCTTTGCCCTGCACATTGCTGTAGACAAGCATTGTGGGTCACACTCAACAACAGAAGCAAACTGCAGCAGGTAGAATTTGGAGTTGGTACCTTATGGTGATGATCTGCCCGAAGTCCAGCTCGTAGTTGTTCACCTGGGCGATGAAGATGGCGGCCACGGCCTCGTAGAGCGCCGTCCCGTCCATGTTGATGGTGGCTCCCACCGGCAGCACGAACCTGGCGATCCTCCTGTCCACGTGGTTGTTCTCCAGCAAGCACTTGAAAGTGATAGGCAGCGTGGCTGAGCTGCAGGACAGCAGGGAAGCACACAGTGAGCTGTTTTTATTTCCGGGGAAGAGGATGAGTTGTGCAGACCTTCTCCTGGCAGGGTGATTTTTACACCAGCCATCTGAGCACTGCTTCCCATCCCTTGGTCTACACGTGTGCTCACTTGCCACGTGACTCACTCCTTTGCTTGCGGGAGGGTGAAGACAGTTAGGTGTGTAAATGCTAGAGTTAGTGCAAATTTTGCTTCCTCAAAATTAACAAGGTCGTTCTCTCTTGCCCTCTTTCTGAAGAAAAGGGACAGAAATCCTGCAGAGGCAGTACTGAGCACTCAAACATAAACCAGGGGAAACGCCCTGTGCAGCTGATTAGCAAAATCTCTGAAAACTTGTGCACTCATGGTTTCTAAAAATGTTTCCCTCCAGGCCTTCTGAAATAGAAAGCCATTTTTAAACAGCAAGAGTAACCATAAACCAAGGAAAGATATAAAGCAAGAAAGGCTCTTTATTCACTGTAGGGAACTGCTGTGCAGATGCCCTTGGGGATTGTTCCTGCTCTCACTGCATGTTGGCAGGACTTGGATGATCAGTTTAGACCATGAATTATAATGGCAGTGGGTTTCCAGGAGACTGGAATACTGCTTGAGTTCAGCTCTAAAATAGCCCAGAGGCAATGGCTCTGTCCAAGAGCCTCCTCCTGCTTTTGCCACAGGACACATTAATGAAGTAGCATCCTACCTCATTAATGCATATATATAAATATAT